AGGTTTTTTTTTTTTTAAAAAAAATATGATTGCTGGCTTGTAATATAATTATCACATGATTATTAGTTTCAAAAAAACGCAAATATTTGGAGGTCTTGCGGGAATAATATCTGAACAAGCAGAACAAGATGATGAAAGATTAAGTAATTTAAACTATAAATCGGCCATGAAAAGTATTGATTTGAATATATAAATTTAACTATCTATCTCGAATTCTTTGTAAATGACTAACTCTAGGATTAAGCCCAAATTTTGGTCCAAACTATATGAATCGCTCGAGATCATTAGCTTCTCTTGTTTGTATTGCTACGTGTATTACATTTGATTTTTTTAATTCATCTTGATCATCTTGAGCGAATTTATTTGTGTACACATTTTTTAGAGATCCGAAAATTTTACGCAATCGACCAAGGCTACTATAGCTTCACAATCTTCGGCAACCAATTCTTTTATTACAAAGATTGGAAAGGCTGGAAACAAATCACACACTGATGTAGTTGAAGAGATCTTCATGGGTACGACAGTTTTCGACGATGAAGATAATAGATCGGTGCATACCACCGCTAATTAACTTGGTCACAATACGTTCGTAGGTAAGCAGTTATCATCTATTCTCTCTTATTCTCGCAAACATCATTAATGTTCTGCAAGGCCTAAGAAGATTTAAAATTCTTGTGCAGTCAGACCTCCCTAAATGCATTTAGAACAAAATAAGAAATTGCATTTATGGAGATCTAGTATATATTTGGATTTATTTTTTTGAAACTAATAATCATGTGATAATTATATTACAAGCCAGCAATCATATTTTTTTTAAAAAAAAAAAAACCTTAGTTTCGCAAACAACTTTTTTTTAAAAAAAATAACTTAGATACGAATGATTTATTTAAAATGGTTATTACACGAATTGCCTTATTTAAAAGCTTTTTACATAGAGGTCGTTTTTATTAAAACAAAAAAAAAATTGTTGCGTGCAAAACAGGCTTTTTTGAAAAAGGTTCACGCGAAAATCGTTTAGAAAGCATTCATTGCATTAAAAGTTTATCGCGCGATCACTGTTTTTAAAGAAAAAATATATCTATTCAAATATTTTTAAAGAACTGAGTTTTTCTTGACGATTATCACATGATACGAGTAATGGTTATTGTCATGCATTAAAAAGTGGGTGCAGGTGTAGCAACGTCGTAAGTTTTTCGTCAGAGTTAGAGGGTCATTTAGAGAGATCTGACTATACCCAATCGAATCAATTTTAAAGTGCCTGACCTTCAAAATAGAAATTTTGAAATTCAGGTATTAAAATTGATAAAGT